GCCGATCACATACCAACCACTCGGCGGCTGCCATACAATGGTTTGATTGTCCGATCAATGGCTGTATGTTTAAGATTAAGGATTTGTCGAAGAATAGCAAACATATGCTTCAGTATCACAAGAGATCATCGAAACGTCACTAATGGTGTGCACCTATTCTTCCACTTATTTTGTGGCTTAAAATTTTAATTGTCATTCAATTTAATGTAATTTTTAATGTAATTAATGTTTGATTTAATTAAATGAATGTTTTGTTCATTAATAACGTTTCGTTGCGTTATTTATGGTATGATTTGTGAACACAAAAACACGTGTTATTTGTTGTGACTTTTGTTTTGATAATTAATGAATTAATTGTTAATTAAATTTTGATTACACTTAAAACACATATTGTATCACAAGATATCACATCCAAACCCAGAAGAATATGGCATCGATTCACACGTCTGTATTGGTGTCCATTAAGACGTTGTGTCCAGAAGTGGACGACTATTGGCTGTCAATATCGCCGTCACTGAAGACCATCGATGGTCTCAAACAACATATATTGACAGACAATTGTATTGTCAAAGACATGGATGACGTCGAGCTCTATCTGTCCGATGGCTTACTTCGCGGCCATTCATCCATCGGTGATGTCCTCCAAAACAGAGATTGCATTGAATTACGTGCTAAACAGCGGATCAATTCATTGCCCGACATTACTGTTCACTCAAAAAAAGAAAACATAGAGCTATTCCATAGAAAACATACGAATGTGCTGTTTTTGGGACAATTTGTAACAACATATGCATGTTTAGTAAAAAACATACAAACGTTTAATTGAAAATATGTGTACGTTTTGTTCTCAACATACGAATGTACTAAATAAAACATAGCCATTCATTGAAAAACATTTAGATGTTCATTTAAAAACATTTAGATGTTCATTTGAAAACATTTAGATGTTTATTTGAAAACATTTAGATGTTTATTTGAAAACATGTAGATATTTATTGAAAAACATGTAGATATTTATTGAAAAACATGTAGATATTTATTGAAAAACATGTAGATATTAACGGATAATCTGTTGTTTTAAATTACAATTGTTTTAGTGATTGAAACTGTTCCGTTCATCACTAACCAATACAAGCCAACAAATTATTATCATCGAGATCATTTAATCCACTGTACGGTCAATTAACAAGTAGTATTTCAAACGACAAATAGACTGTGTTTTTATAATGATCAATATCAAAACCAATGCCTAAATATAACATAATGAACGGAACAGTTACAATTTGGTTAATAATAAACATTTATATATTACTTAAAATATTGTGTCAACTTGTTAAGCAAAGTGTCGTCTACTTGCGGTGTTGTTCATACCATGTACTGAAAGCAAACAGATTATTATAGCTATTAATGGGCAAACGGAACAGTTGCAGCTCATATAATATATATATACCTTAGAGATCAGTTTAATAGTGATTAAAAAGTTAACACAATATAAGCAATTTTCTAATTGTAATTTAGTTAACACAACACCATTAAAAACTCCCTTTGTTTGAATGCATATTTTGCGCCCACTTGTAACTGTCCCGTTCAGTGCGCATGTGTAAACAGTGTGTCATTGATGGTAGACATATAGCACACTCTAGTGAACTCAAAAACGGTTGTGACAAAACATAGGAGTGTTTTTTCAATAAACATTCCTATGTTTAACAAATATAGAACATTTGTAAGTTTTGTATAAAACATTCACACATTAAAAACATATACATGTTTTGGCTGTTTTTTCAGTGTTGGTCACCAAATGAAGACAGAGCCGGCACTTGAATGGTTAGTATTTGGATTACAAGACATGATTATCACTGCATTTATTGCCATATTTAGCAATACTATCGATGGTTCAGATGACGAGACAATGGGTGACACATCGGGTGTTCAGACAATTGTTAAGACCGAAAGCATTTGCGGGAATCAATTGAATTGTGATCGCAAGCCATCAATAGATCCCTTTATATCTTCGCCACCAAAAGTGTTCATTAAATCTGAGTTTAAACACAAAACAGACGCTAAAATAGCCGATAAATCAGTGATCAATGAATGCAAAGACAAAGTGACAGATAAAGTGATAGTAAAGAGTGAATCCAACGGTTCCGGTGACTGTCCGCTCGATTCTACGGCCAGTATATCGTCGGCAGCGGTAGTCACACAATCGGGCCGTAAAATTAGTGCCGACAATACTGTTAGTCATAAAAGTACTAAAAGTTCCTCAACTGAAAGGTAAGCATTTGTGTCATAAGAGTTGATAATCACTGCATTTGTTCCCATATATAGCGCAAGTGTTGTGGACTTCGATAACGAACCACTGGGTATTGGATTCAATTGTAAGACAATATCGACAAAGAAAGTGATAGTCAAGAGTGAATCCAGCGCTAAATTTATCGAGTGTCCGCTCACTTCTACAAAAGCAGTGGTCACACAGTCGGACGGCAAATGCCTCACAAAAAACATTGCCATCAAAACACTGGGACTCGTTGTGGAGCCGCGGAACTTATCCTTCGGTGATGTCTTGATGAGCAGTGATTGCATTGAAGTGCGACCAAAGTTTGCTTATAAACGCCGGATCAGCTCTTTGCCCGACAGTACCATTGGTCACACAAAGCCAGTAAAGAGTAAAGCCAACGGTTCCGTCGACTATCTGCCAAATTCTATGGACAATATATCGTCGGCCACAGCAGTGGTCACACAATCGGGCGGCAAATGCCACACAACAAACGTTGCCATTAAAACAATGGGACCCGTAGTGGAGCCGCAGAAGCCGTCGGGAAGCGGTCAGACCGGCAAATGCTGGCTCGTATGCCGTGAGCCGGAGTGTGACTACAAGACTCAATATCATATTGACTTACGCCAACATAATCTGATCCATCGGATCACATGCGATGTGTGTGTCGGCCGTACGTTCAGAAATAGGCACACATTTGATGAACATTACCGCACATCTCATCCCAACTATTACTTGTTCGTTAAAGAGGTTAACGACACTAAAAAGGCCAAGAAATCAGTGGTCAATGATTCGGGTGATAGAGTGGCAGAGAATTCGGTATTAGAGAGTCAATCCGGCCGTCCTATTGGCTGTCGACCCGATTCTACGGCAAGTATATCGTCGACCACAGCAGTGGTCACACAATCGGGTGATAAATGGCACACAAATAGCGTTGCAATGAATGCAAAGACACCCGAAGACGGGCCGCAACGGACAACAGCACCGGTGCGGACGTTCCACTGCCATCACCTCGGATGTGACTACAAGACACAGAGTCGTTGGAACTTTCTCAAGAAGTGTCCCATTCATTGCCCATTTCTATGTCAGTTATGTAATCGACAGCGATTCAAAACGGCGTTCCAACTAGAGAGACATCACCGCACAGTACATCCCAATGACTTCCCAGACATGCCATGGCTTCAGTGCACTCATGAGGGCTGTGTCTACCAAACTAAAGATAAGGTCCGTTTGCGTAAACATATTAACGGTGATAATAATCATAAATGATAACGAATTACCGATTCATTGATATGTGATTATTCCTCCACTTCTTATTGTGGTTATGATTGTAATTGAAATTAATATAATTGTAATTGTTTTGTAAATTATTGATTCATTTAATTAAATGTATGTTTAGTTCATTAATAACGTTGTGTTATGTTATTTATGGTATGATTTGTGACACAAAACACGTGTTATTTGTTGTGACTTTTGTTTTGATAATTAATTAATTAATTGTTAATTAAATTTTGGTTACAATTAAAACATATTGTATCACAAGATATCACATCCAATCCAGAAGAATGGCATCGAATCCCACGTCTGTATTGGTGTCCATTAAGACGTTATGTCCAGAAGTGGACGACTATTGGCTGTCGATATCGCCGTCACTGAAGACCATCGATGGTCTCAAACAACACATACTGTCAGACAATTGTATCGTCAAAGACATGGATGACGTGGAGCTCTATCTGTCCGATGGCTTACTTCGCGGCCATTCATTCATCGCTGGTGTCATCCGAGACAGAGATCGCATCGAAATGCGGATCAAATATATGGACAAAAAGCGGATCAACTCTTCAGCCGACAGTACTTCTGGCTATAAGAGGAGCAAAAGTTCAGTGAATGAGTGGTAAGAATACAAGATTTGACTTTTGATTATAAGAGTTGATAATCACTTGATTTGTTCCCATGTTTAGCATAATTGTTGAGGACTCCGATGACGAGACAATGAGTGGCCTATTAGTTGTTAAGACCGAAAAGACATCCGGGAATCAATTGAATTGTGATCGCAAGCCATCAATAGATCCCTTCATATCTTCGCCACCAAAAGTGTTCATCAAATCTGAGTTTAAACACAAAACAGACACTAAAAGAGCCGATAAATCAGTGATCAATGAATTCAAAGACAAAGTGACAGATAAAGTGATAGTAAAGAGTGAACCCAACGGTTCCGGTGACTGTCCGCCCGATTCTACGGCCAGTATATTGTCGGCAGCAGTGGTCACACAATCGGGTCGTAAAATTAGTGCCGACAATACTGTTAGTCATAAAAGTACTAAAAGTTCCTCAACTGAAAGGTAAGCATTTGTGTCATAAGAGTTGATAATCACTGCATTTATTCCCATATATAGGGCAAGTGTTGTGGACTCCGATAACAAATTACTGAGTTTTGAACTTCATTGTAAGGCAATGGCGAAAAAGATAGTCGAAAGTGAATCCAACGCTGAATATGTCGAGTGTCCGCTCACTTCTACGGCCAGTATATCGTCGGCCACACCAGTGGTCACACAATTGGGCGGCAAACGCCACACAACAAACGTTGCCATCAAAACACTGGGACCCGTAGTGGAGCCAAAGCAGCCGTCGGGAAGCGGTCAGACAGCGACCAAATGGTGGCGCTTATGCCGCGAACCCGACTGTCACTACAAGACTGAAAGCCTGTTTGAATTACATCAACATAAGCTGATCCATAGGACCCGATGCGAGCTATGTACCGTACGTATTGGCCGTACGTTCAAAAATAAGCGTAAATTAGACGAACATCACCGCACATCACATCCCAACCATTACCCGATTATAGACACTAAAAGAACTGACAAATCTGTGAACAATTGGTTCGAAGAAAGAGTGGCACAGAAAGTGAAGAGTGGTTCCAGCGGTTCCAACGTGTTTTTGCCCATTTCAACTGCCAGTATATCGTCGGACACAGCAGTAGTCACACAATCGGGCGGCAAATGCCACACAACAAACGTTGCCATCAAAACACTGGGACCAGTAGTGGAGCCGCAGCGGCCATCGGGAAGCGATCAGACCGGCAAATGCTGGCTCGTATGCTGTGAGCCTAAGTGTGGCTACAAGACTGAATATTATACTGACTTACACCAACATAAGCTGATCCATCGGATCACATGTGATTTATGTGTTGGCCGTACTTTCGGAAATAGGCGCACATTTGATAACCATTATCGCACATCACATCCAAACTATTACTCATTCGTCAAAGAGATTAACGGGACTAAATCAGCGATCAATGAATCGGGTGAGAGAGTGGCAGACAATGCGATATTAGAGAGTCAATCCCGCGGTACTATTGACTGTCGACCCGATTCTACGGCTAGTATATCGTCGGCCGCAGCAGTGGTCACACAATCGGGTGATAAATGGCGCACAAAAAGCGTTGCCATGAAAACAAATAAACCGATGTCAGTATCAGCGCCGACACCGGGAACTGGTAGTACGGGTGAGAGCCGTACAAATGTGGTCACAAAACCACAGTTTCGCCGCAAATGGCTTCCGTGCCGAATCTGTCGCTCACTGTTTGCGGACAAAGACACGCAATACAGACATCACCTCTGCTCACATCCCTATGAATTCCCAGACGTGCCGTGGATTAAGTGCCACAAAAATAAGTGCACATTTAAAACCAAAGATACCGATCATCTTAATAGACATATTCAAAAGTTGCATTAATTATATGCTTATATTCCTCCACTTCTTATTGTGGCTATGATTTTAATTGTGATTCAATTTAGTTGTAATTCATTTTTTTGTCAATTAAATTTAATTAAATGTATGTTTTTTTTATTAATAACGTATTGTTATGTTATTTATGGTATGAATTGTGAAACAAAATTTTGTTAACGTGTTATTTGTCTCGACTTTTCGTTTAAAATTCAATTAAATAATTGTCTATTAAATCACTTTTGATTACAATTTCACTACAAATCACAGCAGAAGACATCACTCGCACTCCAGAAGAATGTCATCGAATCCATTGTCTGTATTGGTGTCCATAAAGACATTGAGTCCCGAAGTGGAAGACTATTGGCTATCAATCCCTTCCCACTTGAAGACCATCGATGAATTCAAACTACATATACTGACAGACAATTTCATCGTCAAAGACATGGATGACATCCAACTCTATCTCTACAACGGCTTACTTCGTGGCAACGCATCCATCGGTGATGTCCTCCAAAATAGAGATTGTATTGAAGTACGAGTGAAGAGTGCGACCAAAAAGCGGATCAGCCCTTCGGTGGACAATGTTTCTGACCGTCTGAAGAGGATTAAGATTTCAACAAATGAATGGTCAGTATTTGAATCATAAATGTTGTAAAAAATCTCATATCTAATACAATCGGTGGTCAATCGCAAGACAATAGCGATGGCAAGGCATCCATAGATTCTTCCACATCTACTGACACCATTGCGGACACCATAACGCCGGCCGCAGCAGTGGTCACCCAATCGCATGATATATGGGCCGAGTTTGTGGGCACGAGTGTTGCAAAGCCAATGAGATATGAGTGCTGTTCGCCCGGATGTGACTACAAGACCGACAAACGTCACCACTTCCTCCGCCATAGGAATCGCATTCATCGCCCGTTTATGTGTCGGTTCTGCGATTTGGTGTCATTCAAAAGTGACTTCAAACTTGAGGCACATTACCTCCGAGTGCATCCCAGCCATTGCTTAGACACGCCATGGATTCAGTGCACTCATGAGGGCTGTGTCTATCAAACTAAACATAATAAAGATATGCGTAAACATATTGATAAAATGCATGGATTAAAGGTAGGGGTGGCCTAGCGTTGGGTCGGTATATCCGTGGGTTTGTATTGACTGTACAAATGTATGGTTAAGTGTGAAACCCATGGCTTAAATGTACAAACCCTGCACTGAATCAGTTGTGGGTTTGATTTGATTTATGCGTTATATTCCTCCACTTCTTATTGTGGTTATAATTGTAATTAATATAATTGTAATTGTTTTATAAATTATTGATTGATTTAATTAATTAAATGCATGTTTTGTTCATTAATAACTTATTGTGGGATAAATTCATTTCTTAATTATTCCGTGTTTTTTATTTCTTAATTAAATAAATAACTCATATTTAATTAATTGCATAAGCAAATTGATCAAGTTCACATTTTATTTGCACCACAATTTGCATCATGGTGTTTGTGAACAAACCTTTAATCAATTGATGAGTCATTTTTGTCATAAAAAATATTACCCTTTCGTGTATATACTGTATTATTGAGTCCAATCACACAGAGTTCACATACAGGTGACAAATTAATACCATATTTAGTTACTAATTGAACTCATTTAGTCATTTAATTGAGTCCCACAGTATTGATCACTTGATTGGCATTTCGTCACACATTGTGTTTCAATACAATTGTAAACATCTATTGAACCGAAAACACGTGTTTCGCTGAACCGGAAGTCCACTCATATTTACTCATTCACAGCAATTGTCTCATTAACCAAAGTGTGGATCAGATAAGTATCGGCCATCAGTAGATCTCAATGTCTAGTGATAACCACTTGTCATATCAATAATATGACTGAAATCAAATCGATGGTAATATTAGTGTCGATGAAGTCATTGCGTCCCGAAGTGAAGGACTTTTGGGTGACAATCGGCCGCAAAGTGACCACTTTTGCTGAGCTTAAGCGCCATATACTCGGTCTGGAACCGGTCGGCGATCGTCCGTTTAAGGACATTGGCCTCTATTTGGACAACGGTCTGCTTCGCGACGACAGCACTTCCATCGGTGATGTCCTGCGCGGCAAAGAGCGGCTCGAAGTGCGGGACATAAATGATAAATCCGAAGACAATCTGCCGGCGAAACTGGAAGTAAAGAGTGAGACAAT